GGTGAGGCTGCCAGTTCGGGACCACACAAGCAGCTGAAAAATATGTGCAGGAATTCAAGGAGAGTACATCAGACAGTGATTGAAGGACTAGAAACCTGAACAAGTGTTTAATTGTGATGAAAACAGGCCTGTTTTGGAAGAAAACTGCCTAGCAGGACCTACATTACTCTGGAGGAAAAGGACTCCCAGGACATACGCCTATGAAAGGGACAGGCTTACTCTGTTGATGTGTTCCAATGGCTAGTGGTGATTGCAAAGTGAAGCCTTTATAGAGTAATCACTCAGAAACCCCCAGAGCGTTCAGGCAAAAGAATATCCTCAAGCTTAATTTGGTGTGTGCTGTGGCGAGGGCAAACGTAGTCATGGGTCACTAGGGATTTTTCTAATGAACTGGTTTACACCATGCATTTGCCCCCCATATGTGAAAGATTACCTAACTGAAAAGAAATTAGAACTTAAGTGCATCCTGGTGTTAGACAATGCCCGGTCATCCTACAGACTTGGCAGTGCGACTTTATGGGGACATAGAGTTCATTAGGTGATGTTTTTTGCCTCCTAAGACCATCCTCTCCCTGCAGCCCCATGGACCAGCAGGTTATTGCACAACTTCAAAAAACTGTACAACAAAAGCTCTGTTTGAAGGTGCTTTTGTAGCCGACCTCAGAAACTCAACTGACTTAGAGATTGAGAGTTTTGGAGAGAGCATTTAATATCCTCAATTGTGTAAACCTTTATAGGTAAGGCTGGGAAGAGGACTAAGAGGACCTTGAACTCTGTTGGAAGAAACTGTTGGCTCCAGAAATGTGTTGACCAAAGGGATTTTGAAGGGTTTCAGCTAACCTGAGGGAGTATGCCTGTTGAGGATAATCCATTGTGGCATTGGGAAAGTCCTTTGGGGTTGGAGGTTAGTGGGGGATGATGTGGAAGAGTGGTGGGGGAGGACAATGAAGAACTAACCACTGAGGAGCTGCTAGTCAACTTCAACAGCTAGAGGCCAGACCTGAGGAAAACTGGTTCGGAGAGGGGAGATGAGAAATTGAAGAAGTTGCCTACTACAAAGATTACGGAAATCTGTGCAATGTGGCTGAAAGTGCAACCTTTTATGGATGAACAATCACCCTCACCACAGCTAATGCAAGCCGTGCTGGGTGACTTTTACACTGACAATGTTGTGAAACACTATACCCTTTAGGGTCGGACAGGCCTCTCCGAAACTCGTTCTCTGGTTTCGGCCATATTTAAAAAAAAAAAAAAAATTATTTTCTCTTGTGGAAAAAGATAGAGATAAACTTTTTCGTTCATTAACGACACAAAAGTTTGAAAATTTGATAGAAAAACTTTCGCGGAATTATGCTCTCGCAAGTTGCGGCTCTCGGCAGATGTTTTACGCATCGGCGGATTTTTGCACTTTGAGGCCCCAGTTTCGGCCAATTTCACTGTACTGTCGACAAAAAAACCCCAGAATATTTCGCTAGAACTCATTTTTTCTATCGAATAGGTGCAAGAATACCACCTCATTTATAAATTCTCTATCAGTACAGTGATCAGATTTAGCAATTTTGCCAATTTCACACAAATTTCAAAAGATGCCAATTTACCGAATAGGGTCAGAATAAAAGATAACCATTCCATGGCACTAAAATGGACTTTCCACTAGTCATTAGTCTCGTTCAAGAGGACCCTCTTATATTCTTTTGCTTTCCACTTTGAATTTTTTATTCTCACAAAAAATAATAAGGATTTATGTTATGCAGGACTACTGGCATTAGTGTAAAAAAATGGTATAAATATTATTGGATTGCACTTGTGAAAGAATATTAGACTCACCAGTTGACGTGTAGTTTGCACGCTTGGCACGATTTGTTTACTTTTGAAGTTTGGTAAAAATCGAACTTTCTGCTACTTTGAGTCAATATTCAAGGCACCTTTCATTGTAATACCAGTCAAAATCATCTCAATTTCAGTAATATGTCTTCCATTTATAAAATGAGGACCAAGAAAATCTAGAAATTTTGAACATAAATATATACGAAAATACACTGCATCAGTCGGCTTGATTTATTTATAAAAAAATGGTAAATTTTTTTTTTTTTTTCTCATTCATTATGCACTGTGTGCTGCAGATTTTTTTTAATCTGTGCACACTGACACCATAGTTAGACCATCTTTCATATGAGGCCCAACCAGCTTTTCCCAACTAGATTTGCACGGCCGCTAGATTTATGCGTACTAGTAGTCAAAACCCCTACTCGTAAGAGTACTAGTACGACGAGAAAACCCTCAAAGGGTAAGGAATGTCATAAGGAACAAGCAGGTACAGGCCACTATGGACAGATATGTTGTGCTGAGACAGAAGTCCAGTGACTTGAAGCTTGGTCCTAGTGGCATTAAAGAAGGGAAGTAGAACCCAGAAAGACATTGACACCTCATGTTTAATGGAAGGGGATTTCCCACTTCCTTAACCACTAAGACTGTCTCTTCCTCCCATCCCTCAATCATCACCAGAGATCTTCAATAAAGGTAAGTGTCATGTAATTGTGCATGCATTTTTCAGTTTGTGGTATTAATATTAAACATTAATATTTTCTTGTGGTAAAAATGTTTTTTTTTGTTTCTCATACTTTGGGGTCGCGCGCTGCACGGATTAATTTATTATCATTATTTCTTTTGGGGGGAAATTATTCCGCATTAACGATATTTCGCATAAAAACAATGAGCTTCAGGAACGGATTAATATCGTTATGCGGGGGTCCACTCGTACTATTATTATTATATGAGTGGAACCTCTACTTGCGAGTGTGTCACCGTGCGAGTTTTTCCAAATACGAGCAGCCGATGGGTCGATCTTTTTGCTTCCATATGTGAGCAAATTTTCCACAAGCGAGCAGACCTCAAAGCAGGTTCCTTGAAATGGTGAGGGCTCTTGCTTTGATCTCGGGAATTGATCTCTTTATTTGTTGGACTATTGAAACATGGGGCAATGTATGATGGAAAGGATGTTATTAACGTACACCAAAAATGAAAGAAATCTAAGCATAAATAATTGGAGTTCACTTTTTCAGCAATTAGCGACCCCTCTGCTCTTAGCGGTAATTTCTAAATGGTTTTTATGGTTGGATTCTTGTTTTTTTGGTCCATTTGATAGAATGGAAGTTATATTACAGAAACAAAAATATGATTTTGATTGCGTTCACGACAACAAAAAGTGCTTGTATTGAGCTCAACCTTGGACAAATGGTCAAGTGCTTGGCTGTTTCAGAAGTAAACAAATGACGTCACTGTCCATTTCCAATATGAAGTCGTGAATGGGTTGACATTATTTATACAATTATTGCAATAAGGAATAACAGTAAATCTTATGTTGCTTGTGTGAATAAAAATCACAAATTACTATTTATATAATAATAATAATAATAATAATAATAAATAATAATAATAATAATAATAATAATAACAATAATACATGTAATAATAATATGTATAATAATACATATAATAATAATATGTATAATAATACATATAATAATAATAGTATAATAATACAATACAATAATAATAATAATATAATAATAATAATACATATAATAATAATACATATATAATAATAATGTACAGATAGGCCTGAGCTTGTTGCCACCTGCAGCTCATAAGACTGCCATCCCCACGAGTCTTTTTGAGGCGGGGTAGATGGCCTAGCTTCTCCCTATGAGCCCTGTGAGGGCGGGGACGTGGCTAGGCCTGGGGACAGTTGGTCCCAAAGTTGAGGGGGTACTTGTACCTCCTCCCATCGGAGACTTACGTCTCGAGACACTCCCCAGATAGGGAGCCAAGGCCGGGTCACCACTACTTGGAAAAGACCCGGGCCGGGAGAATACCAGCAAATAAGAAAAAAAAAATTTATGTACTACACATAACAATTATAACAGACGGCTTCAAAAGGCCGTCACTAGATGACAGTGTTTACCAAAACAAAGAGGGAGCGGTTGTGGCTGCCTCCACCTGTTACATAATGACATATTTTATTCATTCTAGAGTATATATCATGTTTCTATGTTATTTTTATTGTTTGTTATGTCATATTAGATGAACTGTGATATATAAATAAGCCATATAGATGATATTAGCAAAATTATTCATGAAGTATTTTCATCGGTCTCCAGACAAACTCTCGTCCACTGCCGACACCGCCCATACCACTAATGAATGACATATTTTATTCATTCTAGAGTATATATCATGCTTCTATGTTCATATTGTTTGTTATGTCATATTAGATGAACTGTGATATATAAATAAGCCATCTAGATGATATTAGCGAAATTATTCATGAAGTATTTTGCCCGGTCTCCACTCTCTCGTCCACTGCTGACACTGCCCATACCACTACATGAATGACATTTTATTCACTCTAGAGTATATATCATGTTTCTATGTTATTTATATTGTTTGTTATGTCATATTAGATTAACTGCGATCGATAAATAAGCCGTATAGATGATATTAGCTAAATTACTCATGAAGTAGTATTTTGCCCAGTCTCCAGACAAACTCTCGTCCACCACTGACACTGCCCATACCACCACATAAATGACATATTTTATTAATTTTAGAGTATATATCAGGTTTGTATGTTATTTATATTGTTTATTATGTCATAGTAGATGAAGTGAGATAGATAAATAAGCCGTAGAGTTGATATTAGCAAAATTATTGAAGTACAGAATTCCAATGGAACGGATTAATTGCATTTCAATTAATTTAAATGAGGAAAATTGACTCTGCAAATGAGCAAATCCAGTTGCGAGCAAGGTCATGGAATGGATTAAACTCGCAAGTAGAGGTTCCACTGTAATTATTATAATAATAATTACAGTATATGATAATATAATTATTATAATTATACTTATAGGTAAGATAGGAAAGTTAGGTTAGGTTTTATACAGTGCCTGGGGGGTACTGGAAAAGAGGAGTGGAGAGAACATTTAAGTGGAGTATCAAACCTGGTGATGTTTGTGTGGAGCAGCATCATCAGTGGAGCGCCCATGCTTGCTGGTGTCTGTGTCTGAACCACGAAGTGTAACACCAGTATTACTCACATTCTGAAACGTGTGTCAGTGGTGAGTGGAAAACTTTAACGAGCTTAACTCTTACCTCTACTGCCACACATTATGATGTGAAAAATGTTTTCATAATGTCACTGACTAACTTCTAGGACAAAAAAAAAAAAATTGCATTCAGTTGTGTTTCATGCAATGTGTTCATACATTAATTACATGTACAGCCTCTCCCCACTTAGCGATGTACTCATTTACTGACAACCTGGACTTACGACGGACTCTCTGACCAGTATACATACCTAAATACTGTTTATTAGAGCTGATTTCCTCTATTATGTTTATTACAATATACAGTACACTACTGTATAAATATTTAAGAATATACCAGAAATGTTATAAATGGTGCAATGATAACATTTAAACAATATCAAAGATGGCCCACACAAACCCACTACCAATACAGTATGCTCCTCACTTAGCGATGAATTCATTTTCCGATGTGGTATTAGGAACGGAACTCCGTTGTTAAGTGAGGAGAGGTTGTATTGTACTAGTACATTAAATAACTCTTGATAATTGAACACAAACCTCAGTGCATTTTGTAAATCTTGTTTTTACAAGATTTACAAAATGTTTTTTCATGCACCTTTAAACAAACACCTGTTCTTCCATGTAGACTAATGTGTATTGTGACATGCAAAGAGTACGTAACCTTTATTCGGCGCATGTACACACCCTCATTTACAGGCTATCTCCCCCAACCAGCGAACCAGCCAATAAGAAGATGGTTTTGGCAATCGCAGAGGTTATGTGGGTACCACTCTCCTGTCTGCCTTGTCATTCCCATTCTAGAGCTGGTTGAAGCACGGTCTGCTCTCTAGTGGCTTCTATTCTGCCTTGCTTACCGTGGAGTGCACTAATACCTATCCCTGTACATAGCGTATATAGTGTACATACTTCTGTTCTAAATTGGTGAAGGATAATATAAGTCAAAAGTTTTCTGCTGTGTTTATTTTGCTCCCTTTACACCCAGGATAACAGGCCATTTGGACTCCTGGGTGGTAGTATGGGTAGCCTGTCCAGGAGCTGGAGCTGGACTTAGAGAAAGGGTTGAGCCTAGGGTGAAGCTGGAAGCAGAAACATTGTGTAGCTTGCTGTCTGGCATTGCATTAGCTTTGCCAACGCTTTACAAACTTTGTGTGTCAGTTGCCTTGCTATTGTGTGATCGTTCAACAGCTCGCTACTAGCTTGTTCAGTGTGCTCACTTTGCTACGGTCAATCTTGTGGAACAGTGTGCAGCTTGCTGTCCGGCATTGCATTAGCTTTGCCAACGCTTTACAAACTTTGCGTGTCAGTTGCTTTGCTATGGTCAGCCTTACTATTGTGTGATCGTTTAACAGCTCGCTACTAGCTTGTTCGGTGTGAAGATTTTGCAGTCAGCTTTGCTATTGTGTATCCACCTTGTATGTGTATTCTGCAATCGTACTGTGCATAGCTAAGCGTGTTCTGCAAATAACGTGTTACGTTGGGGTATTCTGCAATCGTACTGTGCATAGCAAATAACTTATACACTGGGGTATGCCACCTAGACAAGTCAGATGTCTGGTGTCGGCATATACATTGGACCCCCGGTTAACGATATTTTTTCATTCCAGAAGTATGTTCAGGTGCCAGTACTGACCGAATTTGTTCCCATAAGGAATATTGTGAAGTAGATTAGTCCATTTCAGACCTCCAAACATACACGTACAAACACACTTACATAAATACACTTACATAATTGGTCGCATTGGGAGGTGATCGTTAAGCGGGGGTCCACTGTACTTTGTTTAACCTACCTAAATTGTCTCTACAGCGTTGTTGGCAAATTGCTCGTTCCATTGGCATTCATTACGAATGCACTCTCACAGCTGCGCAACTGCATTCACTGATCACCAACAAACTTCGAGAAGAAGAGATGGCACATCAGACTCCTCCCTCTACGGGACCTAGGAATAAAACTATGTTCTCACAAGAGGAAGATGATACATCAACGGAGCAAAACCGTCAGTCTAGTGCAGCAGGGTTGTCTCAAGGTGAATCAGCGGCGTTGGCACTTGAGCTGGCAAAAATCAATCTTGAGCAAGCAGACTAGGGAACAGAGAGCATTTGCAAAAGAATTTGATAGGGAAAAAGAAAGAAGGCAGTTTTTGCATCTTGTAAATGATTTTAGTTTACAGAAAGCAGTACAGCTTGTTCCCCGCTTCAATGAGGCCGAACCAGAACAATTTTTCGAAAGCTTCGAAAATCAGGCTCGAGCCTTGAGGTGGCCGGAACAGCATTGGGCATCGTTGGTTCACACAGCATTGTTTGGTAAGGCACAGGAATTTACGCCAGTGTTAAATGACACTGATTTTTCTGATTATGAAGTGAAGACCACAGTGTTGGGAGCATATACTTGTATCCCAGCTAAGTATTGGAAGCTTTTCAAGCTAGGTAGACGACAGGTTGGTCAATCCCTGCTTGATTTTGTGCGACAGCAGACCAAAGCTTTTACCAGCTGGTTTATAAAGCAAGTGGTGTTGCTATCTTTGATGATCTTGTGCAGCTTATTCTGGTTGACAACCTGCTGGAATCTGTGGGACCAGAGGTTCGAATCTTTCTGCAGGATTGTGACTTAACCACTGCATTGGAGGCAGCCAGGTTGGCTGATACCTTTGAAACTAACTGCTCCTTGTCCGAGCGGTCCCGTCTCTCTTTACAACAGCCTGGCATGAGCAGAGATCGTCAACCTTGGAGGATGAAGTGCCAGCCGGAAGAAGAACGTCTACATCAGCCAACTAAGTCACCTGGTGAGCCTCGCTTCTCAACTTATGGTCCACTTGGTGAGAGACAAACCCCTCATCATGGTGCAACTCGACAACAGTATCCAGAGACATCAGCCAGAGCGACACCAGTTGCAACGTCAGCAGGGAGTAAAGGGCAAGCCTGTCGTCTGCTACGTCTGTAACCAAGTAGGTCACATCGTCCATCTGCCCCCAAAAACCCCAACCCATTGGGAAAATCTCTAATATCCCTAGTAACATGTCCCTGAAAGAAGTAGAAAAAGGGATGGCCCCTTACTACTGTCAGAGTCTTATTTCCCTTCAGGAAAACTCCAAAACAACTTAAGTCAAAACCTTTAGAGATACTGGAGCATATTGCTCACTTATAAGAGAAGGAATATTACCCCTTTCAAAAAATACCTCTTTAAATTCCTCCGTTTTGTTGGAAGCATTTGAAGGAGCTATATATTCTGTCCCTTTGCATAAAATTTATGTACAGTGCAAATATTACACTGGATACTTGACTGTGGGTGTATCCGAAGGATTCCCCATGAAAGATGCCATGTTATTACTGGGTAATAACATTACCACTGCTAGTGTGTGTCCTGAACCCATAATGATTAATTCTTCTCCGGTGTTGGCCATAACTCAGGCAACATCCCAAGGGTTGTCTGGCGAAAATGTTGACCTATCCTTGGACGACTCTGATCTCGGAATAGCCACTTTGTTTTATGAGGAAAACTGGCCAGGGCCTCGTAGACCAAGTGAACAGACCCCGATCAAGCCTTCCTATTTCCAGGTTGCAGGATTGCCAGATATCTCTGTTTCCATGCCTGAGGGACTGTCCTGGAAGGAACAATGAAAGGACCCTTCTTTAAATTTCGCTTTTCAGGCAGCCATGGGTAAATCCTCTTTGGATCATCCGGTCAAGTATAAACTTAAAAACGACTATTTGTTCTGTACTGAGACTGGTAAGGAGATAGAGGGTCGGCAATTGTCTGACAGGTTAGTGGTTTTCCAACAAAGTTTAGACCTCAAATATTGAATATAGCTCATAATACTTCATTAGGAGGTCACCTAGGAATTACCAAAACATTATATAGAATTACAAAAGAATTTTATTGGCCAAAATTAAAGCAGGATGTGAAGAATCATATCTGGTTTTGCCGAGAATGTCAGCAAGTAGGGAAACCTGGGCATTCCATTAAACCTGCACCTCTTCAACCTATACCTGCTGATGGAGAACCTTTTGCAGATTTAATTATAGATTGTGTAGGTCCACTACCTAGGTCAAAGTCGGGAAATCAGTATTTATTTACCATTATGGATAGAGTAACTAGATACCCTGAAGCAATTCCCATGTGCAGTATTAATACTAAAGCAATTCTTAAAGCTTTGACTAGATTTATTTCTTTTTTTGGCATTCCTAAAACTATTCAAAGTGATCAAGGAACTAACTTCACTGCCAAAGCATTTAGGGAAGCATTAACTAGGTTAGGGATAGTCCACAACTTATCCACTTCCTATCATCCTCAGTCCCAAGACGCCTTGGAAAGATTCCATTAGACGTTAAAAACCATGATAACTTTTTGCATGCATTTTCCTACAGACTGGGATGAATCACTACCTTTGTTGCTGTTCTCAGTGCAAGAAACGGTGCAAGAGTCTACCGGGTATAGTCCGTTTGAGCTGATCTTTGGGCACAACGTACGAGGTCCTCTTCGGGTGCTCAAAGAAGGATGGATGGGAGAAGACGTTAGCTCAACACTCTACAACCCGTCTTCAAGGTTGCAGGTGGCACGTCAGTTAGCCAAGGCTAACCTAAAGGCAGCTCAAAATAAGATGAAACAGAGGTATGACAGAAATGCACAATTCTGCTCCTTCCATCCAGGAGACAAGGTGTTGGTGCAGGAACCCATACCTGGCCACACCTTGAAAGCTAGATTTACGGGACCTATGCAAATTGTAAGTAAATTATCTGAAGTAAATTATGTGGTAGCTCCCCTTGATAAGACCTCAAAAACTAAAACTTGCCACATTAATCAGTTAAAATCTTTTCATACACCAGATAAAGTCCCAGTAATGACTCTGTCCTCTACCTCTGAGGACGACTCTGACTCTTTGCACTCTATTCATGAAGTTAATGTTAAACTTCCAAACTCTGTCCTCAAGGACCCTAGCCCTTTAATGGAAAGACTATCTGAAACTCAAGCAACAAGTTTAACTGCGCTTCTAGAG